TGGTTTCTAACAATAACTGCTCAACTCCAGAAACATTTCTATCGGACACAGAGACTCGAATCATGTTGACTGACTTGCAAGACTTGTGAAATTTTAGCCTGAGGAAAAAACACAAACAAAAGAGGTTAAACCAGGAGTCTCGCCTGGCACGGGCTTCCGTAAGGGGTGGAGAGTGAAAGAGCCTGAAATTTCAGTAAGAAAGCAAATCTACTGTAAACAACAATAATCATTTTAACTTATAAAAGTGAGTAAACTGGCTATTTTCAAATTTTAAGTTCACTGAACAGAACAATGGGCCTCATTCACCAACCGTTCTTTGGGATTTGTTCTTAGGTAAGAACTGAATCTACACACACTCAAGAGCACAAAGGCGTAAACAATTCTTAGGAAGATATTGGTGAATGAGGCCCAATGTGTGTTCCATTCTGTTATCTCATTATTTGAAGCACAATAAAATATAGATTTGAAGGCAGTCAGGTTACTTACTTTTATAAGTTAAAACTCCAAAAAATCACCCATTTGAAAACCAGCCCAACCTGAGCCTGAAGTTGTACGTGAAAAATGTTTACACGATGCACTGTTGGCCCCGTCAGGCTCAGGTTGGGTTCAGACCTCTAAAAATGTTTGTCAGGACATTCACTAAATCACAAGCCTTTCATTATAGAAAACCCTCCAGAACTGATACACTACATGCAGTAAATGTAGTGTTTAAAGGAAACAGGCAAAACAACTTGAAATGGTTGGCTAACATTTTAGATAGCAAGTATGCTAGCTAGTACACTAGCTAATTTAACTGAGGTTCTCAGCTAATCTAGCTAAAGATTTTGCAAATTGCAGATCACAGTCCCTTTAAAACTTCAGCTGGATTAGCTATTATGCTAGCTAGCAAGCATAGTTGCTGTACAAACTAGAGCTAATAAACCGTTTCAGGTTATTGGGCCTCTTTCCTTTAAAGACTGAATTTAATGCACATCTGTCCTTCAAACTGATGGTTCTTCTGTAATGAAAAGCTCCTTATTTGAACCTGACAGGTTTTAAGTACAAAGCAATGCCTGCAGCTAATAATGAGACTAAACTAAAATTCTGTAAGGACTCCAGACTTGACGCCAGAGACATGAGAGTCGCTAGCCCAGGGGTCGGCAACATGCGGCTCTTGTACTGCCCTGTTGCGGCTCCACAGCAGAATTTGATTTTTAAGTAAAAATAAAATAATCCTCCTTTGCAGTAAAATAAAGCTCTGCTGATCGTTTTAACACAGTTTTAATAATAACTGGTCTTAATCGCTGGAGTTAATGAATAACTGCTAATTCACCCTTCGACCGTGAAGATTGGTGCACAGACTGCTGGTCACACGGCAACAGTCTCGCCTAGCTAGTAGCTAACGAAAAGGCAAAGAGAAAGATTTAAGATGAACATCGATAATTTGGAAACGAATGGACTCATTTGCATTTATAAGCACTGATGTGTTTAATCTGCGACGAAAAACAGTCAAACACTAAAAAGTTGCAAAGCTGAAGTCGCTACTCATTCGAATTTTCCCATTCCAACCTTAAAGGGTTCCTGAGGCACTAGAATGTAACTGCTGCACCATTTAAGGTGGAACAGGAAAATTCTAACGAGAAGCTGACTTCAGCTTTATGACTTTTTAGTGTTTCTTCATTGCAGATTAAACAAAAAAAACAAGAACAAGAAGCTGCCTTCAGGCTCGAAAGATTTGAACAATGAGAGACTTTTCACAAGAAACTATTCTACTTTCGAGGAAAGGTTTCCTGTGGGACATGCAAGAAAAGTGGCTATAGCTGAGCTACAGCTTAAAGCAGAGCAAAGTAAGTCTGCAGTTTCGTTTATATTTTAGATTCTTAGCCTGTACTTGGACATTAGCACATACTGAAACATATTTACAGCCAAGATGGTAAAACATTACTTCAATAAAATGGACATAAGATGTTGTGGCTCCCAAGGTGGTTTGATAAATGTTAAAAGGACAAAATGGCTCCTCTTAACATTTGGGTTTCCGACCCCTGGACTTGCGTGAAGCCACTTGTGAACGTCTCTGCTGTCTACTAGTAATGAAGTAACGGAGTTATTAACTAGTTAAATAAAGTATCTACTCTTTCACAGTGATTTAGCGCATTTGGTACTTTCAGAGTAAAATAATCTTACTCTTCTTCTCACTTGTTGTTTTTATTCATTTTTGTTATATTATTCTAGTATATTTCTAATAAAATATTCAAATTAAGTATTTCTATTTTTTAGATAACCATTAAAAGAGCAAAAGAAAAATGGGCGGCACGGTGGCGCAGTGGGTAGCGCTGTCGCCTCACAGCAAGAATGGCCTGGGTTCGATTCCCGGCTGGGTGACCAGGGTCGTTTCTGTGTGGAGTTTGCCTGTTCTCCCCGTGTCTGCGTGGGTTTCCTCCGGGTACTCCGGTTTCCTCCCACAGTCCAAAAACATGCAGTCAGGCTGATTGGATTGATAGATCCCTAGGTGTGAGTGTGCGTGTGAATGTGTATGTCTGTCTGTCTGCCCTGTGATGGACTGGCGACCTGTCCAGGGTGTATCCTGCCTTCCGCCCAATGACAGCTGGGATAGGCTCCAGCACCCCACCGTGACCCAGAAGGACAAGCGGTTTAGATGATGGATGGATGGATATTTCCAGCTGAGGAATCAGTTAGCTGGCTTGCTAACCTTAACTTAGCTGACTTAGCTAGACCGCTATTGTGGTGAGAGCATGAAGTGTCATTTTATTTTGTTGTCTTAGAATAACTAAGCATGGCAGCTCTTTAGCAAATCTAAATCTGTAGTTTATTATAAAACTAAAGCTTTAGTTTATTGCCAGAGCCTGTTAACCAGCTAATTTGGCTAATGCTTCCCACAGGCAGTCAGACAGCTGAACAGATTTGGTTGATGGTGCTTTGCACATTCAGACTGAACCGCTACCTCTAAACAGCTCTGAACTATTCTTCATACTCATCTGTTTCACTACACACTTCACCCAGTGATTTTACATAGATATTATACTTCACCCACTTCACACTGTAATCTGTAATCTGTAATCTGTAATCTCTAGTTCTTGACTGTGTTTACACTGCTAGCTGTCACTGCCCAGCGATAATAATACATTGACAACAGCAATTTCTGCCATGGAATGACAGCTGGTCTATGTTTCTCTCGCTCCACTGTCCACTGTTTTATTTCTGCTGTCCTGCACTTAATGGCTACATGCGGTCGTCTGCAAAAGTTTTGGCACCCTTGGTCAAATGACATCATCTGTTGGTGTTCCAAGTGAAAATTAAAGCTAACAGTTCCTCTACAGAGAACACACTTCGGCATGTTTTAATGCACAGCTTGCTGAATTAAAAATACTGGGAACATGAAACGTGGCCTGAGCAAGAGTTATCGCACATTTTATATTTTATGTTTCAGATTTTTTCCCAACAAGTTAAACTTCAGCAAATAAACTGCGCACTAGAATGTGCATGCAATTTAAGTTTGTTCCCTGTACACTCTCAGAAAAAAGGTATGAAACTGTCACTGCGGCAGTGCCCCTCTAGTCACTGGTGTGGTACGCTCAAGGGTACATCTCTGTACCTTTAGTTAGGGAACACTATAGTACCTTTGTCAATTAAAATGATATTTTCTAAGTTGTATTGACTCCACACACCCCATCTCGTCTCCAGGCTTTTTATTTTATTGTTCTGTTTTAAAACATAAAGTTATGAAGAGGTACAAATCTGTACTTTTCACCTGGGAAAAACTAATTTAAGGTACAAAATTTAAAATTGGACCTTAAAACCACTGTAGTACCTTTGAGGGTAAATTTACTTTGTTTGTACCTTGATGAACGAAAAATGTACCTACACGGTACCTTTGTTTCTAACAGTGTAGAGGATATGTTACCTTTTTTCACTTAAAAAAACAATAAAACATGCAAGTTTGACTGGGGGTGTTCAAGCTTTTTCCAGTTTGTTGTCTGTATTTACTATTTTTATTGCCTACTGTTTTCAGCCACTGCTCTGTGGTAAATGTAGCACTGTGTCCTGGACGAACTATATTTCATTCCTCAACACGTCTGTTGTGAAAAGGAATGACAATAAATCTGACATTGACTTTAACTATTGTTAGGGTAAGCTAATGGGTTAGTGTAGGCAACGTTAGCAAGTAAATCCAGTGAAACCTTGAACCATCTTTCTGTAATGCTAATATTAACTTAAAGTAAAAAACCAATTACTGGAGTGGTTTTTCACTATACAGCTTGTTTATGCTTACTTGAATATTTTTTATTAATATCTTTACTTATCACAACTGTGGCCAACCAGTCCTGCCAAGCGACCTGGATGTGAAACTCTAGGGAAGAGCTTATATTAATAAACCTGAGCTACCTAAAGTATACTTAAGTCATTATTTGTATACCTTACACCAGTGGTTCCCAACACGGGTCCCCATGGCCCCCAGATAGTCTACCTTTTTGCGCCAACCCAACTCGCAACACAGTGAAAATGTAGGCCCTGAGGACTGGGTTGGGAACCACTGCGCTACACTACCGTCTTTACTCGAATGTGAAGGTAAATCTACATGCAGCATACATTAAAATTTTTTTTTTCTTCCCCAAAAGCCCTATAGTGTTAAAAATTATTCACATTTCAAAAGTAAAAGTTAACTATTGGTCTTCACTCAAACGTTAGACATGAACAGTCTCACCAGAGGACGAAGATGTTAGATCAACACAATGAAGATGGAATCTCTTCATGTTGAAAGGTTAAAGTAAAAAATACCAAAATTGGAACGAAATAAGTAAAAAGTAAAGTATAAATTCCTAAACATTATGCTGAATTAGTACAGTAATGGAGTACTTGCTCTCTGTTACTCTCCACCTACGCACTGAAATTTATCAGGTGGAATATACTCCTTACCACCTTTATGAGATCATGGCAGGTCACTGGTTATTACTCATATGACATGATCATCACGATTTTACTGAAAAGTTTTGTTTGTTTAGGGTGGAAACATGTCCCATCACCTGCCCAAGTCAGGTGCTCAAAAGTTCATTCTGGGGTTCCTCTTCACCTGCATCACAATGGTTCTGTACTGCCTTTCTACACCTGCTCTCCAGGCCAGCACAGAAAGGTATGTCATTAAAGTTCTCAGAAATGACAGAAGAAGTCACAAAGAAATAGAAGCACAGATGAACTTTATCCTCAAAATGTAATGGCAGTGTTTTAAACCATGTACTGTGGTGGAAAGCTGAATAATAAGTGGCAACCATCTAGCAGTAGAAGTAAGGTGACAGGACGTGTGGTACAATCTTGAAGATGTTTGACCACCACACTTCAAGATTGTACCATTCTACCACAGTCTTAAAAATAAAGGTTTTTACTTTGGATGTACGGTTCTAGTAAAAACCTTTAATTGGTGTAGAACAGTGGTTCCCAGCCTAGTCCTCAGGGAACCCCAGATGGTCCACATTTTTGTTCCAACCCAACTTGCAATATATAGGCATGAAGTGAAACTGTGGACTGCGTGAGGTTTCTCATGGGCTGGGTTGGCATGCACTGGTATAAAACCTTTACATTATGTGGAAATTATTTAAACTTCACTCTTAAAAAAGGTTCCTAAATGGTTCTTGGCTTGGATGAATGGTTCTAGAAAAAAACTTTTACAGTATGTGAAGGTTCTTTAATTTTTAGGGTTCTCCACATTCATATATCTCTTTCAAAATGGCTCTTTAAAGAATCATTTATTGAAAGGCTTTTTAGGGAACCAAAAGTGGTTCTTCTATGGCATTCCTACAAAGAACCCTTTTTTACACCTTTGAGGCAGGAGTAAATCAATGAACAGACATGTGGTATATATAAAGATCATGTCCAGTCACTTTGATTTGCTACTATAATAAAGGTACAAAAAGTGTTCTTTGGAGTATCGCCACAGAAGAACCACTTTAGGTTACCTGTCAATGGTTGGTTCTTTAAATAACCATTTTTGTAAATGAGATGTAAGAATGTGAAGAACATTTTTTTAAATTTAAAGAACTTTCACATACTGTTAAAGTCTTTTCCTAGAACCATATGTCCGAGCCAAAAACCATTTAGCTTCTTCACATTCATACATCTCAAAAATGTACAAGAATGGTTAGGTAAAGAACCATAAATTAAAAGCTTCTTTAGGGAACCTAAAGTGGTTCTTATGTGGCATTGCTTGTATCTTTATTGTAGTAGCAAATCAAGAGGTTTCATTAATGCAAATCACTCTGCCATGAGTGGTAGTCTGTCATCTTCAGGATGATACCACATGTCCGTTTACCTCGATTTACTACTACGATAAAGGTGCAAACAAAGGGTTCTTTGTAGCAATGCCGCAGAAGAACCACTTTTGGTTCCTTAAAAATTTTAAATTTTAAAAATCCTTTAAATTTATTTTTGAGAGTATAGACCAGTGATTGCCAGCACTTGTCACCGATGCCCTACATAGTTTAATGTTTTCTTTGCTGTAATATTCAGTCAAATGCAAAAGTTTGAACATTCCAGTCAGATGACATGTTTTGCTGATTTTCTAAGTGAAAACAAGTTAACACATCCTCTACAGGGAACAAACTTAAATATGACCTTTTTCTGCAAAGTTTAGTGCACATGTTCTATTTATTTGCCAAATGTAACACTTTGGCAAAAAATATGGACTATTTTTTCTTTTTTCCTCCAATATGTTAAATTCATACATTAAAACAGTAATTGTCCATTTAAATGTGCAGATGTGACAAAAACTTTGACCAGGGTGCCTAAACTTTTGCATACGACTGTACCTGATGCAACCCATGCATCAGTTAATTAACAAGCATTTCCCAAGCTGAAGTACATGAAATACACTAGGATGTCCAGGACAGGAGTTCGCCAGGATCATGATTGGTACCACAGTTCTAGACTATTCAATGACCTTGATGATTCACAACCTTCACAAACAGCAGCTGTGTAACCTGCCTCTCTCATCTATCCTCAGACTTCCACTGACTCCTCCATGTACATATCAAACAACTACAATGCAAGGACGGAGCTCCTATCTGTCTCGGGACACCAGAGAGTTGAAGCGCTGCATACCAAAAGCGAACCTGATGTTCCTAAAGACCCATAAGACGGCAGGCAGCACCATCCTGAACATCCTCCTCCGCTTCGGCCAGAGAAATCAGCTGAAGTTTGCTCTTCCCAACAGTCGCAACGACTTCTTCTACCCGGCTCCTTTCGACCGCATGCAAGTGAAGGACTACAGGCCAGGCGCCTGCTTCAACATAGTCTGCAACCACATGCGCTTCAATGCGCCCGAAGTGGAGGCTCTCCTTCCACAAAACGCCTTCTTCTTCACCATCCTCAGAGACCCGGCGCTGGTTTTTGAGTCGTCCTTCCACTACTACAAGAAGGTGGTACCCCTAACCTGGAGGATTCATGGGGAGGACAAACTGGGCACCTTTTTAAACGAGCCAGAACGCTACTTCAGCCCAGATGGGTTCAATTCCTATTATCTTAAGAACTTGCAGCTTTTTGACCTTGGCTACGACAACAGTTTGGAGCCCGAAGATCCAGCAGTGGATCAGGCCATCCAGGCTGTTTCCGAGCGTTTCCAGCTGGTTTTCATTTCCGAGTACTTTGAGGAGTCACTCATTCTGCTCAAGGATGCCCTCTGCTGGCAGATGGACGACTTGCTTTTTTTTAAGCTCAACGCACGTAGAGGTGCGAGTGTATCCCAGCTCACGCCTGAACAGACAGCCAAGGCCCGTGACTGGAACGGTGCAGACTGGAAGCTGTACCGTCACTTTAACACCACTTTGTGGGCCAAGGTGGACGCCTACGGCAGGAAGCGGATGGAGAGGGACGTGCGGGAACTGCGCAGGAGGAACATGGAGATGTCGACCATCTGCATCGACGGCGGGACGGCGGTGGAGGAGGGAGACATAAGGGACCAAAGCATGAAGCCCTGGCAGCCGCTGGGAGAAAGCTCTATTTTGGGATACAATCTGAAGACCAACATTGACCAGAAGTACAGCGAGCTCTGCCGAAAAATGCTAACCCCTGAGATCCAGTACTTGGCAGAACTTGGAGTCAATCTGTGGATCACCAGATTATGGGGCTGGGTTAAGGTTATTTTATCATTATAGCAAACAGAAAGACAATGTGGCAACAGACCTCATGTTTCTGGAATAATTTATTAGACTTCAAAACAGATTTTATTGCAGTTTCCTTTGTTTTTTAATAAAAGACATTTAACGTCTTCTATGGCATAATTTTGACAAAGAAATATGTGTGTGTGTTTACAAGTATGTGTGTTTGTGCCCATGCGTAGGAGGGTGCATTTGCTCACTCATTTGTGCTGTGGTGGAAATACATGCTGAGAGACATCACATCCAATATTTTATAGGTGTGCGTAACAGTAGAGACTGAAAATTGCTGCTTCATATTCAGATACATTAAAGGAATTTGTTGGCAAATTTGGCTAAAAATCTAATTTACACAATTTCCCACTTACCCCAGATGTACTGCATCAGCCAAGACATATTTGGCATCCAAACATGCTTCTTTAGTTTAGCGCTGGAGCTTACATTGCTAACAACCACTGAAAGTCAGTAGACACCCAAATCTTTTAGGTAAACACATCCCTAACATGTCTCTCAAACCACATCTAGATCTTCATTAAGACTGCAGATTTGTTGATATGGTTTAAGACATAGTATTACTGTGAACTTTAAAAACTAACAAAACTTCACAGTGCCTGCACAACCTGAATGAAAACCTGGATGAGGTCTGAATGGGTTTAGAGAAGTTTTATGGAAGTATTTACAGAAGAGATTTTGGTGACTATTGACTTTTGGGTTTGCTAGCAAAGTTAGCCTCATAGCTCCAGTTTAAAACTAAAGAAGCTGATTGACTACATCTGGGGTAAGTGGAAAATCGTGTACATTAGATTTTTTGCTAAACTATTCCTTTCTTTTTTGAATAGAGCTCTGAAGATGTGCGCCATTCTGTGGCTGGCATGATGGCCATATTTGCAACTCCAAGTCTAAGCTGATTTCTCTAAGGGAGAAATGAATGGCATTTGGTGAACATAGCAGCTAAACCTAATACGTTTTTCCTTATACATATATTTTCCCAGAATGTTAATGGATCCTCTGAATTACAAGGTTTGATATACGAGCCAAAATACTTTCTAAGCAAGTTAATACTCCTATGCATTGAAAGAGTGTTGCGCAAAGTCTACTAGTAACAACAACGTAAAACATTACTATAGAACAATATCAGCTACTCAAACTCTTGGCTGCAACTGCCAAAGAAACTTAACTACCATGTTTGGCAAACCTTGATCATTTGTGTGGGGTATTTTGATGAGGTTGCTAGCCTTCCGTTGTCAATTCAGAGTGCTGTAGTGTTATATTTGTAATTGTAGTGCAATATTTGTATTTCGACTCCTTAATGACCTCATAATTCAGAGGATCCAGTGACATTTCGGCGAAAAATACACATAGGGCATTTTGTTAATCACAGACTGAGATTTTCATTTCCATCTCATTTCCATTTCTAGGTCTATGGCAGCTAATCTAATGATCTATTTTGTTTAAATCATTGAGCATGACATATGGGGTCCTGGACATGGACTAAGACTAGTCCTGAACTATATTTCTCTTTCAACTGAGAACCTCCATTCTGTGTGGTCCAGGACTAAGCTTAATCTCTGTCTGTGAAACCGACACATAATGTATACTTCATAAAAAATGATTACTGTATCATTCATCACTGTGTAGCTTAGGCTAAGTGAGCACACATGATCAAATCTTCTGAATGTGAGCACAAATAGAGAAAAGAAGAAAGGAGGTACCTTTTTTTCATAAAAGGACATAATGTGCCAAACATCACCATGAACTCGTTCAAGCTACCTCAAATGACCTGGTACTTGGAGACGTTGTAGGTTGAGTGTAATTCCGGCTGCAAACTGCAGGTGGCAGTTTGGAGTTGGAAGCTTGGGTTTACATCACTGCATATAGTACTACTGAGAAATACAGATTAATGGACTTTCAGTGGGTGTCTTTGCAGAGAAATCCCTTACCGGAATAACCTAGTCTTTGGTATAGTCTAGCCATAGATATGGTGTGACATGACCTCCCTGGTTTAAGGAAAAAATTAAAGGAATGAATGCTTGTAATTGCTAACAAATAAACATTTAATGTATTGCAAAAATATTAATATTGATACCTCTGCTGATTTAAATATTATGGATGATATAGAGAGTAAATGCACAGCTTGCCTGCTTGCAAACTGAAGATGAACTGTGTCTGTTGGACCTGAATGTTAGTGCTTTCGGCTATGCTGAAAATATATTTATGTAACACAGCAGGGAAGACCAGAGACGGTGGAGTTATAACTCAAGATATTTAAGATGTTTAAGTGAATGAAACTAACTGACTAAAATCTATTTGCAGATGGTGCCTTCTTAGAATGAAAATCAATTTAAAAAAAATCACCAAATGAATAAACTGTACTATACTATACATACTATACTGATAAATAAATAATGGCCAACTAATTTTAACATACTTATTATTATGGCAATATGTGATTTTGGACGCAACATATGATTTATAAACTATGCAAATGTCGAACAGTTATTCTTTGCAGAAAGACAAATGGTCAGTGGCTCATCGGTTTTGGCCAATAGGAAGCAAGACCCCTTTCCGTGTCTTCTGGTTAGAGGCGAAGCGAGTGGTCCAATCGAGTCGTTTTCCGCTCGGAACTCGGCCCTCTGATTGGTCCCTGGCGGTGCGCCCTTCGCCTCTAGACGGAGGAGGAACTGGCGATCCAGCCCACCGCCGAGTGTCGACTAAGCAGTCTAGCCCGGGCTGCAGTGCAGGCGAAATGGGGGGCTTGGCCCCATGCCACCCGTACTAGTCAAAATTAGCTCATTGTTGAATGTAGTTAGTCGCCAAGTGGGCGCACTGGCGGCGGGCTCCCTGACCGGCTCTCCGTGCAGCTCTGTGCGGAGAGCGGTCTTCTCCTCCTGCCGCGGGGCCGCGTTTAAACTACCGTTAACTCACGGCAATTTCCAAAGCCCTCGGTCGCTCGCCGTGCAGGTCTGCTGCTCTGAAACTTCGTGTGAAAAGAGGACAACAAAGGCACTGAACTGTAAGTTCACGACCGCATATGAAATTGCAGTAGACTAGACGGGATAACGTTAACTTATTTCACTGCAAGTTAGAAATTAACCGTTGGTTGACTTTCTCTCTGTAGGCAGGGCATTATTTATTTATTCACTGATAGAAGCGATGGGTCAAATAAGGCAAATAAGCGCTGCCGAGTTGTAGTTTGCAGTCGGCAGGCAGACAGACAGACAGCATATATAAGTCAGGCTAGACGTCGGTTTGACCGTTGGTGACTGTATGAACAGCTCTGAATACGGACAAACCTAGTTAGCACATTAAAAAGGCTTCTAAATACTTATTTAACCCGCTTTATACTTTCCATAAGTTCCTGAAGCCACAGAAGCCGCGATATAACCGCCGTTTTGATATCGCTAGCCAAGTTAGCTAGCTAGCTGGCTGGCTAGCCGCTTCTTTGTTCGTGAATCTTGTTCCAGAGCATAAAGTCACGGCTTTGAGCTAAAACTGCCAAAACTGGCACAGCGGTGACTTTCGACTACCTCGACCGAACTGTTCGAGGTAACAGACAGCCTTGCCGTTCGTAATTTCCACGTATTTAACGAGAACGTTAAGCTAGTTTAGCGCTTTAGCTAGCAGAGTTAAAAAAGAAGAGCAGAAATTCCCGTCAGCTAACGAGAGCTGGTATGCGGAATTCGGTTAGCAGCGGTTTAATGTGGACCTTCTGCTAATATATCTGCTAATAAAATGGCTTTTGGTTGCACTATTTTGCTCATACAAGTAACCAGAGTGCAAAGTTACCCGGTGCTCGTAGGTGAACAATATGTGCCAGACAGTCTAATTTCATCAGCTGGCCAGAATGGCAGAGGCAGCCAAGCACAGTCACTCACTCAGTCAGTGAGTCGCCTCAGTTTAACCCGAATTTCAAATTCGTATTATTGGTGAAAGACGACGATGCTGTTGGATTACACGATGTGAAACGGTCGCCGACCCACCAACCCCTTTATTTCCTTCAAAAAAAGAAACAAAAAAAAAGAAACTGGCATTTTGGCTGAAATCGGCTTCCTATTCACCAGCTTCTTGTTCGAATTCTGCCGTTCCACCTTAAATGGTGCCCCAGGCGCCAGAATGTCACCGCTGCACCGTTTAAGGTGGAACGGGAAAATTGGAACACGACGCTGGCGAATAAAGACGCTTCGTATTTTACAGCCTCTCCTTCTCTAACTCCTCACAGGGAGGCTTGTCTTGTCTTGGCTGCTGATTTGTGAGGCTCCAGCAGCTGTTGGTTGCATGGATTGCACCGTCCTAAATTTAGGCAGCTACAGGGATAGATGAAGTCATGCATCCGGTTTACGAAATGGACATGTCCCCCTTTTTTTCTCTCTCTTTTTTTTTTGCAGGGTAGTTGTTGCAGTCGCCCCCCCCCATCTTAAAATGCTCAGTGCCCACACCAAGGGCATGCCTGAAACCTCTGCATAGTCTCCTTCAGTTCAGTTCCAGCCATTTCATGAGCCACCCGTCTCTCTCTTTTTGTGTCTGGCAGTGTTCTCTCCTTTAATCCACTGCAGTGCAAGAGCTGTTTGTGCAGACAATCATGGTAAGCTTTCCTTTTTTTCTGTTATTATTGCTTTAATTTGATGTCCACAATGCAGAATATTGTGCTGTGGTACTATATTAAGGTGTTATTACAATTGGCATCAGCAGGATTGTTAATATTTTCATGATGGACTTGGTGATCACTGCACAAACCCTGGTGAATTTTGGTAATAGACCACCAGTATGACTCAGTTGTGCTTGGTCTATTTATATACCCTATTGTAAGGATATACTCTTCTTCCAGTCTGGGTCTGCAGCTGTACCAGGTAGTGTCGGTCTTGGTATTGGCACTGGCGCTGGGGTCTGCCTCCTCTCTCAGCTGGAGCTGTGTCAGTAGGGGCGTGTTTTCCAGAATCCGTCTGCGCTGCAGCAGGCAGAGGGTTCATCGGGTTCGGGCGCGCTCACAGTGGCGGGTTTGGGGGGGAGGAGGGAATGTGACCTCATTTGACTGGAC